GTTCGCATATCTTAAATTGGTTTATGATCTTTATAAGTTTAATACAAAACTGGAGACAATGAAACATATTTCGTCTGTCGCTGTAATAGATTCGGTGGCATATGGTGTGATAAATATGTTTCGCATGAAAAATAGTATGATTTCTGGCAAATTGTATAAATATACGAAAAAAGTTTTTCGTATGTAGGATACTTTTAAGAGATGAAACTTACCACTATAATAGATTTTATTAGACCTTTTTGCCTTTGATGTAACTCTTTATATTGTAATCTAAAGTATATACATACCTATTTTTGATAATAATATAATCAAGAAAAATCCGTCATAACTGTCTAGTAATAAAATGGTGATATTAATTTAATATGAAACACGTTTTTAATGCTTATAAATGTCTTAATTAAACAATATCTATATAAATTCAATTTTTTTATTAAAAATACGGTAATAAGATAATATTGATATGATAAAAGTGTAAATTATTGACTTACTACTACTGAGCCTCTTATCCTCTCGACTCGACCTGCCCTGACCTGACCTTAAATAACCTTTATATTAGGACAATGTCTAAGCGAATGAGCTCATACGGCAAGTATAATAAGGTTTCTCGTTCTGAGTAGAGCGTTATTCTCAGACGTGGTGCCCCCATCACATTAGACTGCAGACGATTCTTGGGATGTCTTATTTATGCTATGTTACAACAAGCTCGATTTATTTGTCTTTTATTTAATGAGGTTAGCTTTTATATATTCATATTTTCTCTTAGTGAATGAAATATTCTGAATGTGTAAGCGAATAATGATAATTTATATGTTTTTTTTTAATAAAAATAGAATATTTTTAACGTTGAATCTCAAATGTAAAATAATTTTCAAATTTCTTTTCTCTACAGACAAGTTAGTTGTTTGTTAACCGAATTTATTTCTTGGATATTACTTTTAGTCTCTTTGATATTTCAATTAAACGTTTAAATATTTACATATCGAGTAATAATAATATATTTTGCTGCTAAACTAGCCAAGACGTAGTTATGCTAGAACTAGTTGTGAGTGTAATGATAAAATTTAAATCCCAGATCACCCTAAAAGTTGGTATACATCACAACCACGACTGTATGACGAGGGATATGACGAGGGTTTTAATCGAATATATGTATTAATTCTAATTAACAGTCGCCTATTATATAGGGTTAGCGGTTTTGCGGTTGCAAGACGGGACAATAAATTAATTTGCCCTCTATATGACTTAATATGGTGTGTATGATTGTTGATCTGTTAGAGCTATCATTAGTAACCACGATATCATAGTTATCTCACTTTTGAATTAAACTTAGTTATTTATTATAAAATATATTACTTTATAGAAAATAAAGACTGAATTTTGTGAGTTGTAGTGGAGTGCTCCGTTCATTAAAATTAATCTGCTACAAGACGAACGTTTTTCATATCCAAATTATCAAAAATGTTGAAGTACAAATTATTATTTTTACATAAAATTTAATTTCACATAATAAATATCTGTTTATTGTTAGCTATGTGATGTAATGAAATTATTTTATTAAATAATAATAATAAAGTATATATGTATATAAAAATATATGTTAAAAATAGGAAAATATGAATTAATAAATAATATTGTTATAACGGTCGCAAATGTAAAGCTTTTCTTTAAAAATACATTTTCTAGTAATAAATTACTTAAAACTTTGGGTTTGTTCTGAAAAAGTCATCGTTCGGTTTAAAATAAGTTCAATAATTAAATTTTCATTTCGTCATATTTCTTTCAAATATGAAATTTTCATTAGTCCTTTGATATGGAATACTTTGGATGTTCGGTCGAATTTCAGGATGAAGTCAGATTAAAATAAATTACTGGTGATTTTTATTTAAATTTTGAATAACCAAAATTTTATATAATTAATTTTCTCCTATAATAATTTCCTTGGATAGCGAAATAAAGAAAAAACGAAAATACTCTGGAAGGTTTTTGAAGCGTCTGATTTGATTCAAGTCTTAATTTCATCCGGACTTTATTAATATTTTAACTTGTTTAACTTCTTGTTACCTAACAGTTTATAAAAGCAGTATTCCAGTTGTAAGTTTGAGTGGTTTAAACATTTCTCGAAAGAGCATTCCAGTTTTTTTACGATGATATTCTAAGAGGTTTCAGTTAGAAAAAACTTTAAGATTTTAATTTTAATTATAAACCTATATTATTTTTATGTTGCAAAAGATATTACTATATCAAAAAAGATTTTACAGAGATGAAAGTGTAAAAATACTTTAAAACTAAATAAATAATTTGAAACAAAATATTCAATAAGATTGTTTTGTAATTATTTTTAAAAACTTGTCTAACTATTAATAAAGATAAACTAATATGACAAGTCCGTTCATTCTTTATTTTCCTAAGGCGTCAAACTTTTAGAATGTCAAATTAAATTACAAACTAAATAGGTCTGTGCAGTCATTGAGCGATAGTTGGTTTGTGATGGTAACAACCTTTAACAGTGTGACGTCATCTAAATTTCCTTTCCAGTTCAATTCTATTATTCTTTCTTATAATGTTATATCTCCCAGAACGGTAATACATCTGGAATCAGATCTTCCGGTGACCACGGACGGCGCGGGCGGTGGGACTGTTACTATCCGGTAGACCATTTATCTTTTCTCGTCCTTTCATATAAATCTCTGAAAGATAATTTTTGCTTACATACAACATTTCACATACAAAAATATAACATTGACAGGCATTCAATTAGTTTTTTTCTTCTATAGTTAATTCAAATCTCATATGAATAAAATATATTTTGTACATTATATTCGGTTAAATAACAACTTCGCTTTCAATACATAATTTTTATCCTTCTAATATTTGTCTATTAAATGTTTACATATGTAAGTGAAGGTAGTAAAAGTTTAGTAATTGGCGCCCGAATGAGAGTTCTAAGACACTATCCATATTAAAGTAAATCACATTTGCTGCAGTGTGCAGTGAGTGGTGCAAGTTTGCCACAACTGGTTCCAATGCTAGCGATATTAAACCGCCAGGTCAGATCAATCTAACGCTGCACACTGCTTCGATTCCTAACTTCGGCCTACATAGTACGGGTTGTAGGCGAACTTGTTTAATATGAAATATTACTTTGAGCTTTCATAACTCAACTATCACGGCCTTTGGACATATTGTAGGTGTTACATACAGCTTAGAGTTTTTAGTTTTTATGATTTTTTAAATATAACTACTCTATTATTTTCTATGTTGGTTAAGGGTGTGGCATTTTCATTTGAATTTTTCTTAATTATCTTACTCCTGAAGAATCGTAGATATAATTTTGAAATAAATTATATATATTTTTTGTAATCATTAGTATTTTTTGCCTCAACTGTTGCGTATATCAAAAAGTCAAGATCACCAGCATCAAATGAAAAACAAATTATTTTATCGTAAGTTCAGAATGATATATTTTTATAGGCAGAGTATTTCGTTATGTTCGCAACACTAACAAGTTCGGTGCGAGTGAGTGGAAGTTTAAATCTGTAACAGGTCAGTGAGTAACTATCTCTAGATTTTTTATAACATGCACTCGGCCATAAGTGGAACTCTTTATATAATGTGATATATTAAAAATTGCTACATTGAATTTTATTTAAGACAGAAACAAATGATAACATATGAACGTTCTTCTTGAATGATGTGAAATTATCAATATTTAGAATTATCTGTGCATTTTCTTTATTTATATCTTGCTAAGGAAATCGTAGTTTTAAACGTATTAGTCTTTATCTGTTGTCTAGAACGAATAAGATAAATAAGTTTGACCTATCTGAACAGTGTTTAATCTTGTACATCGGATACAGCACATTCGCTTCGTTAGTTTTCATACGAATGTAAGCCTTATATGTTTATATATATAGTATACAATGGTGTGGAAGTATTTATAGACACGCATATTCAGCTGTGAATTTATTGAGTCAATAACGACGATGGAGTTGAGCTCCTCTCACGCGTGTGATTCTGCCGTGGGCAGTAAAAATATATACAGATAGTAATCCCTTTCCTCTAAGCCTTTTACATCGAATAATGGATTTTTTGCGTTTACAAATAGTCTTTTGACCCCATTTATATATAATTCACGCCGTCCAAATAAGACTTTCTTTCAGCACAAATATATCTTGATTTTACGAAGAAAATTTAATATTACGTAATGTTAAAAAAAGAGAAATTGAAAAACTTATTTCGTAAAAAGTCCTTGTCTGTTAAGATTTCTACTTTTATTTTTTACAGTACTGATGTACATTTACTATATATAAAGCTATGCTTTGTCACTCAAAATTATTCAATATAACACTAGCAATACTTTATGAGAATAATTAACATTAGAACTAAAATATAAGAATTATCCATTTAACAGTAAAATGTTATCAATCAAATCCTTTCTTTATTCCTTTAGTTAAATCTGTGAATTGTTGAAATGTAATTCGTCATTATAATAGAGCAATCTTCGCATTAATTCATAATGAAATCTCGTTCATTGGCGCGATCTCTTCGGTTCTTATAATTGACAGCATTAAGACATTCCGAGATCTCAAAGATTTTATTACAGCGAGGTCAGGAATTCTGTTAGACTTACTTGGAAATTATTATAACTGGTGCTATAACTCGACTTTTCAGATTTCTTTTCTTTTTTCTAATCTTTCTTATTAAGTATTATCTATTTTCTGTGCGATGTTTAATTATTGTATTGAATTTATAAAATAATTATGTTTGTAAAAAAAATATCTGCTTGTTAATATGTATATCAAAATTTTATGTACATTTTCACGAAAATTATTTATTTTTCATCCACATTTTTTCTTTATTATTAATAAATTGTACTATTTGATCATTTTACTTCAAGACAATATTGATATAGTAAGATTAAGTTCAAAAATATTAATTATTATCTCAATACAATTGTTTCCTGTGTCATTTTTTTAAACATTTCTTTGTCTTTGTAATAGATTGGAGCCCTCAAGGGTTACTACTTGCTGTCACATCACGAGGTTCACAAGCGGTCGACAGAACCAAGCCATGAGCATCATCACAAGTTAAATAATGAACCAGAGGTAAGTTAAAGTTATTAAAGATTAAGGTTCTGTTACTTTCATATGTCTAAGATACTTAATAGTATATACAAATCGTTAAAAAGTTCCCTTACTAAATAAGACACATCCTAAATAAACAATTAGTTTCGTTTTAGTTTTGACTCAACTTTTAATATATGTATGTTTGATGTGCTGAAATCTTGAAACTTTATTTAGCAGACAACTTTAAACTATTCAACTGATATAATTTAAGTCGTCAGTGGTGGCCTAGTATTTAAAGGGACCGCCTCTCGTTGCCGAGGGCGCGGGTTCAAACCTGGCAAGTACCAATGTGATTTTTCGGAGTCATATGTACTTTCTGCGAGTATTTAGACATCACTCATCACTGACATACGGTGAAGGAAAACATCGTGAGGAAACCTGGACTTATAGTTTCACAATTATAAGTTTGAAATCACCAACCCGTCTTGAGCAAGCGTGGTGATTAATGCTCAAACCTTCTCCATGTGAGATAGAGGCCTTTGCTCAGCAGTGGGCTTCTGATAGGCTGATGACGAATGTAAGGCGTGCTTGTATGACAATACATGGCTATCTTTGTGACGTTATTTAGTACATAGGGGCATTATCCAAGATTGCGGACCAGTAAGTTTTGATGAATTAAAACTATTCGTATAACTAAAAACATTGAATATGAATTAAAAAAGTAAAAAAACTTCATAAAACAATCCTTTATTTACAACTGAAGCAAATCATTTGAATCGCTTTTAAATTGAAGGTTTCTTTCTGCTGATGACGTATATTTTTATGATTATATGAAAGTTTTTTGAAATTTATTTATTAAACGAATTAATGAGAGTTTTTTTAGCATAAAATTGAGTAAGTTTCTGTCCTCAAATCTCATAATAAGTTTTTATATGATATAAATGTGATCATTATAAGTGGATATAAAATGATATTAAATAAAAAATGTATCTACCCGCAGTGCATTCAAATAAAAGCTTATTTTTTAATTCCTTATTTGTAACTACACGTTCTCGAAATATTTATTTTTATTTTATATAATAACATAATTTCAGACGAGCAAGAGAAAGGCAGTTTAATTTAACTTTATTGTTTTATTAGTACTTCCGCACGTCTAACAATTATGCTGAGATTTTTAGTTTTATTTTAAGATCCTTCAGATAACTGTAATAAAGTAGATAAATTTCAAGTATTTTTTTACGGTAAGTTGGTTTTAAGGCGAAAAAAATCCTAAACATAACGAAACGTCTCTGATTTTTAATATTTTCGCTACTTATTTATAAATAATACTAATTATTGTGTAAGTGATAAGTTATGTCAATAGTACCCTTAGTAGTACTTAGTACTTTGGACGGCTCGTAAAAAGAGTTTCCCTGCGTTATAAAAAAAAAATATATCCTTAGTTGTTTTGATTACTTTCTATTTAATAGTCTACATGGCGTCCGTTTTGTATACCTAATACATACATGTATAATATGTATTTTAAATTTATTTCTGATATTGTAAATTCTAAACAAGCTTAATAAGACAGTTTTTTAATTATTATTTCACCTTAAAATTCATATGAATTACTCATAATATTAGTTTATATATAAAATAATTTACTCTAATGTAACTAAAATAGATTCTATTATATTTAGTAATTTGAGACAATACAAAGGTTCAAACCAATTTCCTCTCTACCGTAATGATAATGATGGAATTATACATACATACCTATAATATAATAATCTATTTCCGTGCACACTGTTATCACAGAACGTGTCCTATTCAAAACATATTACTTATTTCTATTAGGATTATAGGCTTTCGCTTTGACACAGTGATTTCCAACAAAATAACAGAGTGTTATCTTCTCGTATATCAAATTGCGTTTGGACATAGCTTAGTGTTAACACTGCGAGATATTTGATAACAGAGCTGGTAATAGCTAAGCTTAATTGAAACATGTGTTTGACACCGGCGCTGGGAAGGATTTCGTCAAATGAATTTTCGCTCGGACATAGATTGATTATGAATCGGTTGGATAATTGCAAATAGATTTTAACGGCTATATTGATTTTTGTGGATTAAAATTTGAGGAGATTCTTTTTTTTTTGTTTTAAAGGAGACATCTCAAGAGCTGTACTGTGATAACGATAACAGAGTAATTAAAGAGATTCTTCAAAAGTAGTACCAAAATTTGTCTGGATTCTGTCTTTCTTATCTGGATTTCAAACTATATAAACACCAAATTTTATCAATATCGGTCTAGCAGGTTTTTAGTAGTATAAGTGTAGATTATTTGAAAAATTACAATAATAAAATACCTTATTGTGTGAAACGTACCTTTTAATCAAAATAATATTAGTTAACATTTACATCATAAAAATCTATTTCATATCATGTAGCCTCTTAAATAAAATAGGCCTATAATATAAAATTCAATAGAACGCGTGAAAAAATTACTAAAGAAGATGGTCCAAATAGAAAGGGATGACCTTCCCATAAACTCACGTAAGATAAACCTCGTAAATTTGCTTTCTCATAATACTTTAATAAAGAAGCAAAAGGGTTATGAGATTTGACTCTGTCTAAGGCAAGTCCAAGGATAGTATCAATTAAATTATGTTTTTCAATGAAACCGTATAAATACTTACAATATTTTTTAATACAATTTAAATCTTACATATTTTAACCAACTATTAGGACTTGTTTGAATCAATCATATGTCTCAAGACCTGAACACGATCCAACAAACATGAGTAAGCTTTGTGTAAACATTGAAGATCATCAGAGCGTTCCGTACTAACTGATAGAGTAATAAACCGTGAAGATGTTTGATCTGGCTTCATAATATCTGAGTCTGTATTACCTCGAGCACAAATTTACTCATACCAAACTACATCAGTATAATTAGATGTGATTATCTTGCAGTTTGTATGTATGTAAAAGCAACTACATTACATTGCTTTGATGATATTAAGTTTTTAATCATACTTATATATATTAATATCTTTAGTTTTAAAACAGTTTATATACTGAATTCTTTGATACATTTTAATGCATGCAAGCCAATGGTTAAAATTCATCCCGGTCTTTGTGAGAGATGAAAGTAAAGACGTTAAATGTACCAGCGGATCGAAGTTGCGATATTGAAAGAACTCGGCAATCTTCACACTCAAACAGAATCATATTGAATGCAAATAGTTTTAAAATAACTCTCAGTTGACTCGAGTTTCAGCTTGTTGATATAAGAATATATTGGATATGTTTTAAATCGGTTCCACTATTCATATAACTAAGACAGTTTTCCATCTCAGTCCATGTTATTGAATGAACTCTTAAGAGCTTATAATTCTATATCGATACGGGCAGCTGAGGCAGTAGTAATAAAAGCCGTGGGCGTGCGCCCTCCGGTCAGCCCTCCTACATCATAAACAGCCCTCTATTAACCCCGTTTTACGGTTTACGGCTTCGTAATGAACAAGTTCGTGACTTACAATTTAATATCTTCCTCGTATGGAGTCCAGATGCTTTGTTTGTACGGAGTCATAGTTCAACATAATTATTACTATATTGTTGTTATTGCGATATATGTTATTTAATTTCTTATAAAATTGTAATGTTCTTCATAACAATCGAATTGTAAGTCTTTGAAGGTAATTTTCGTTAAGTGTAAGTTAATAAATGTTAGTATAATATACATATAATTTTGTGAGTTTTAATATCTTCCAATACATATAATACATCATCCTGTTAGCTTCAAGACAAAGGACTAATAATTCTGTTTGTAGATTCGACAAGCGAGATCCGTAGGGGCTGACTTTTTTTTTGCGTAAATCTGTTTAAACCCTTTCGGAGCCGGCCGCAGGACCGCTCGTTTTATTAGTTTAGGACCCTATTACGTTACGGTGTATGAGCACAAAGGGGCTTTATTAAACCTCATATGTTTCTACAAGTTTTTTTTAGACGACCTAAAAGGAATGCTTCGCAAAATGTACTCTAACTTAATAGTATACTAGTAATGTTTTAGTTCATTATTATATTATAATATCTCAATAAGTTTATGCCACATTTTGATAGTTGAAATTGTCTGAAAAATATTATAGTTACTTATATAAAAATAGATATCACATCGGAAACATAAAATATATTTATATAAAATAATATAATGAATTCAAAGTTATAATAATAAATATTCTTGTTATTATTTTTAAAGATAAATTCGTTTTCACGATATTTTTGCTTCAAAATAACCACGTTGGTATCTGGGCAGCTGAACGTGTGCCTTAACAAGCGAACTGAAACAATACAACGGCGACGTTAGCGAGCAAAAACTTTAACAACAAACGGCATAAAGACGGCTTACTATATGTATATATATTTATTCATATAAAAATATATATAAAAAACAATTAGCATGAACAACTATAGGACGTAGGAGATGTTTCAAGATATATATTTTTTCTATTTTTGAAATTGTTTTCGACAATTTTATTTTTATTGAAATATCGACAAGTAGAATTTTCCAATTAAAATTGATACGCCTGTGTTCCCATAACCAATTTGTTAGTTTCGAAATAAATTTGTTTAGTAGAGATAGGTTTTTTTATATATTAATCGAAAAATGTTTTCGCTTTGATAAATAAATCTGTCAATTTTTGAGTTAAAAATGTAATGTAATTTCGTTTTGTAATCATGAAAAGGATGTAAACGTTGATAAAGCTTAACGTAATATTTGACGAACATCACAAAAGGAGCAGCGGGCTAGCTTCTATTGAATTACAGTCGACACCACGACAAACACTACGTTCAGATGTGGCGATGTCACACTCTATATTGTAGTATTACATTATTATTATATCAAATACATAACACATATTACATTGTCGTCTCCTTTGAAGTTATCACAATAAAATTCTTTAATTGTTTCTAAAATAGAATAAATAATAAAGCTATTATTATTAAATATTCTCATAGAGAAATTAATTATAAGCAGTCCATTTTTGTTGTTTGTATAAGTGTCTATTGTCACGCCGAGTCGGGACAATGCTCGGACAAACGCGTCTATTTTCATGTAAATACGTTCTGTTATTTCCTATCTGTCGGTCTTTCTAGCGGCTGTGAAATTGCCTCGTCTGAACTCAACAACGACGATGAGACGCCTAGAATAGTATTGTTCGGATCGCTCTAGTTGTCTCGTGCTAAAATTTTATAGATTGTTTTTATGCGTCCGCCATACTGCCTGTTGGAAATTATATGTTCTTAATACAACTATACTAAAATATATTTGTTTGTTCAGAAAATAAATTATACTAAATACGATATAATACATGTGTTTTGATGTGTACAATGTTTATAATTCAAAGCCACGACGCGACGGTACAATGTAGCTGTATGTGTTAACTTTTTACGTGTTATCATGTTCATGTAACAGCCCATAAAAATAACTTGTTCTCAGGTTAAATGGTTCGAGCAACAACGCGAGAGGCGTAGAATGAAACGTGATTACAGCCCTTATGAGAGCACATTATGGTCGCAGTTGTCTCGAAGGCTGCCCTCCCATAGAACCCGTCACCGCGCCATTACACCCTCGCCTTTCTTCTCCGATCCCTTGTTTAAAGAGCAATGGTATTTGGTTAGTGTGGTTATATTTATTATTTTGCTTCAGCATTAAGATAACATTACAATTCTAATGGAATTTCTCGTGTTGTAAATTTTTATTTTATTTTTATGTTACTTTCGATACTACTAAGATCGTTTAACTTATATTAATTAGAACGTTCTTCAATCGTTGCTTGTGTTTGTTACAAAATGATATTGTAATATTGAAATATATAACTATTTAGAGAGATCCATAAAAAGTAATTCTTGCATATGACATGTTATATTTGATTTTTTTTTTCAAGAATGGCGGTGCGAAAGATGGACTTGACATGAATGTAATGCCGGCGTGGCAAAGAGGTTACACTGGAAAGGGTGTAGTTGTGTCAATCCTTGATGACGGTATACAAACCAACCATCCCGACCTCGCGCAGAACTATGTAAATAACATATTATATCTCTTATCAAATATTTGACCATGAACGGTATATAATTTAAACGATTAAAACTTTTAGGATCCTCTCGCTTCCACTGATATCAATGGTAACGATGATGATCCAATGCCTCAAGACAATGGTGATAATAAACATGGAACACGTTGTGCGGGGGAGGTCGCCGCTGTAGCGTATAACCAGTACTGTGGTGTCGGTATAGCGTACAATGCTAGTATAGGGGGAGTCCGTATGTTGGACGGTGTAGTGAATGACGCGGTCGAAGCCAGAGCTCTTGGTCTTAATCCAGATCACATTGATATATACAGTGCGTCGTGGGGACCTGAAGATGATGGGAAAACGGTAGACGGGCCGGGCCCGCTCGCTAGAAGGTTGGTAGTGCTATGACTCACAGTTTTACTTGAAGACTAATTGTATATATTCTTCTTATTATTCGTTTACAGAGCTTTTATTTATGGAGTTACAAGTGGTAGGCGAGGTAAAGGAAGTATATTCGTGTGGGCTTCGGGAAACGGTGGTCGCCATACAGACTCTTGTAATTGTGATGGATATACAAATAGTATATTTACTTTATCAATATCGAGTGCGACACAAGGGGGATTTAAACCTTGGTATTTAGAAGAATGTTCATCGACACTAGCCTCCACATATAGTTCGGGTACTCCGGGCCATGATAAAAGTGTTGCTACTGTTGATATGGACGGGAGATTAAGATCAGATCATATTTGTACAGTGGAACATACAGGAACGTCCGCATCTGCACCTTTAGCAGCCGGTATTTGCGCTCTTGCCCTGGAAGCTAATCCAAACTTGACCTGGAGAGATATGCAGTATTTAGTAGTGTTAACATCACGTCCACAACCTCTCGAGAAAGAAACCGGGTGGATTGTGAACGGTGTGAAAAGAAAAGTTAGTCACAAATTTGGCTATGGTTTAATGGATGCATCGGAAATGGTGAATTTGGCGGAACAATGGGTGTCAGTACCACCGCAACATATATGTAAATCGCAGGAAATCAATGAGGACAAAGCTATTGAATCTTCGTTTGGTTATACACTAAAAGTACATATGGATGTTAATGGTTGCAGCGGAACAGTTAATGAAGTGAGATATCTAGAACATGTACAGTGCAAAATATCGTTAAGGTTTTTCCCTAGAGGTAATCTCCGCATACTTCTTACTTCACCAATGGGAACAACGTCGTCTTTGTTATTTGAAAGACCTCGGGATGTTATTAGTTCCAACTTTGATGACTGGCCTTTCTTAAGTGTTCATTTTTGGGGTGAGAGAGCCGAAGGTAGATGGACCTTGCAGATCGTTAATGCTGGTAACAGGCATGTTAACCAACCAGGTATTCTCAAAAAATGGCAGTTGATATTTTACGGAACATCAACCGATCCTATACGATTAAGGTCGAAGAGACCTGCCCAAGCAGCGCCAGCCTTCGCTTTTCCAACTGCCGCTGATGGTTACGAAGCTGCCGGGGATTCTTTTTACAATACTGACGCGTTTACAAATTACCAGAACTTTCCTTCATTATTCGCCGCTGGGTCAAACCCCGAAAAGGCGATAGCCCGTCTCGACGGACATAACGTCCCTTCACCGCATGGGGAAAATGTCCTCGCTGATAGTAATGATAAGCGCGTCATGCATGATTGTGACCCCGAATGCGATTCTCAAGGATGCTATGAAAAAGGACCCACTCAATGTATAGCCTGTAAGCATTACAGACTAGATGATGCCTGTGTATCTCGATGCCCTCCGAGGAGTTTTGCCAATCAGGGTGGTGTTTGTTGGCCCTGTCATGAAACATGTGAAACATGCGTGGGACCAGGACAAGACTCATGTTTAACATGTTCGCCAGCACATTTATTAGTCGCCGATTTGGGTTTGTGTATACAACAATGTCCTGATGGGTATTGGGAAAACAGCGAAGCGTCAGCATGTCGGCCATGTGCTGCACACTGTTCCACCTGTTCGGAGAGAGCCGATGCGTGTACCTCATGTGAACATCATCTAGTCCTATATAACGGAACTTGTGCCACATCCTGCCCACCTTCAACGTATGAAACGGAAGACTACAGCTGTGCTAAATGTCATGAAAGTTGCAACACCTGTCAGGGACCTGGAGAGAATCATTGTGTCACATGTCCTGCTTCAAGTTATGTGCTCGATGGCCGTTGTTTGAGCACGTGTCCAGGTGGTTATTATGCCGATAAGAAAAGGAAAGAATGCATGAAGTGAGTACTAGTCACAGTGATCATTATGTGGTTATGTTATAAGTTATGTATGTTTATTTTTTCTTTTATTTCAGATGTCCCATTGGTTGTGCAACTTGTTTGGCTACATTGTGTCAATCTTGTAACTCAAACTGGGAGCTGAATAGAAAAGGAAAATGTGTGGCCGCTGGAAGTGAAAGATGTAATGCTGGTGAATTTTCGGATGGGAGCCAATGTCAGCTGTGTCACAACGACTGCGATTCGTGCTACGGTGAAACTGAAGGCAATTGTTTAACGTGTCCATCACCCAACCTTTTACAGAATCACAAGTAAGTGAAGGATTTTATGGAGATGCTCCTTTCTTTTAAAGTGTTAATACCATATAAATGATGTATACATCGTATTTTTAATGTATAATGTTTTTATTTTCTTTAGATGTGTACCAGAATGTAGTCGTGGGTACTACTCTGAAGCCGGTCGCTGCACTCGTTGTATGCACGGTTGCAGTGAGTGCGCATCGAGACTTAACTGCACTTTCTGCACTGGGTCACTCAGACTTCAATCTGGTACTTGTAGAACAGCCTGTGCAGAAGGGTAAGTATATTTCAAGGATATTAAACATACCTTTATAATATAAATAATGATATGGTGAAAAGAATATTTCTATGAAAACTCCTATCCGCCTAGTTTCTAAAAAAAAACTATTTTTTGTTCAGTTCAAATTATGTTACGTATGTGAGAATTGTTTGTTTGACTTGTTTGCTATACCTATTGAATTGAAAAACTACCAACGTCATATTTTTACCCAAGAAAACATGAAAAGAAGTTTTAAGACTGTTTGTGAAAGTAAAATTTTTTACTATGTTTAATATGTACACATAAAAACCGTGACTTAAATATATATGTTATTATGGTTTTCGCAAACCAACGGTAACGATAGCCTACCTCATTTGTTAGTGTAAACCTTTCACTTTTTTAACTACTCTACCATAGTCATTAATTACTAAAAGAAAAATTAACTTTAAACATATGTAATTCTGATGTTCGCTCGTCATTAATCGTCACAATTCCTCAAATCCCTATCAATCTGTATTGTTCATCCCTACTAATATTATAAATGCGAAAGCAACTCTGTCTGTCTGTCTCTCTGTTACGCTTTCACGCCTAAACCACTGAACTGATTTTAATGAAATTTGGTACAGAGATAGAGTTGACCTTGAGAAAGAACATAGGATAGTTTTTATCCCAGACTTTTGAAAGGTTCTCTTGGAAACGCGATATAACCGAACTCCACGCGGGCGAAGCTGCGGGCGGAAAGCTATGTAGTGGTATATATATTTAAATGAAACCTCATATTCGTAGTTACTACGCTGATCGTGGTACATGTTCTAAGTGCTACTTATCGTGCGCTACGTGTATCGGTCCTCGTCGTGATCAGTGTGCCTCTTGTCCTCGAGGCTGGAGACTGGCAGCTGGTGAATGTCACCCTGAATGTCCACAGGGTGAGTCAAAGAAATATACAATTTAAATTGAACATCCTTTATATATGTAAGTAAGTTGTGGAAGGAACTTGATTGACTATTGCTATTAAACAAAACCGCTCTAAAAATGGTTAGCCATTAACAATTTTTAGATATAATAATTCATCCTTATAAATAAAGTATATTTTTCGAATTTTATTTGTTGAAATTCTATTTTGCCAATATAAAGGTTTCTATAAGACCGCGGACGGTTGCCGCCACTGTCACCACTACTGCCGCGAGTGTGACGGCTCCGGGCCGTTACACTGCACGTCGTGTCCTCAGCGCTTCATGTTAGACGGCGGGCTGTGTATGGAGTGTTTGAGTTCTCAGTACTATGAAACCAGCAGTGGATTATGTCGATCGTGTCACGAATCGTGCAGGACTTGCTCCGGACCCGGGCAGTACAGCTGTACGGCGTGTTCGAGACCATTGCGGTTGGATAGGTAAGATCCTTAGTGGTTATGTCCCCCTGGTACTTCAATCCTTTTGGTTCGTGTTAAATTTGATTTCTGATATTTAGGAACTCCGAACACAAAAACAATATATATAACTAGATTTTTAAGTTAAGTCCTAGCCTAGCTAGTATTACAAAAATTGTAGGATTGTTTCTAGTAATAGGGATTTCTGCTCAGTATAGTTATTAGTAACTGTATTGTTATTTGCGTCAAACACTAAAAGCCAATCTGGAAGCCGGGTTCAATATTCCGTCATTCAAATAATGTTCTTAGGTGTAACATTTGATACCGCTTCAGTCAGATCTCAATTTGGTCAGTACGTATTATATATGGGGTCGAATATTGCGAATTCCTGGCAAGATGACAATATTCTAACAATTCAGACCCTTGCTCAGTTAAGTGAAGTATTTGGATCGTGAATAAACCATGTTATATTGTTTAGAAATTCTCAAATACTTTATCCGATATAATTAACGAATATCTGTTAGCTGCCTAAAAATATTTTAACTTTTATATTAACATAACTTTATGGTTCCACAGGACCATCGATACTAAATATACTTATATGTCTTTGCAAACCTATGACGTTGAATTATGTGTAGGAATTTATTGAACAAAAACGTTCTTTAAATCGTAGCATGATTTTTTTGACTTCATAAATCAGTAGCACCTTCTATTTCTCACAGGTTAAACAACCAATGTGTTCAGTGTTGCTCAGAACGAGTTAACAACGCTACCTCAGACTGTTGTCACTGTGATTCAGACACAGGTAAGAAGCATTTTAATATGAAAGCCGATTTCTATAAATAATGATAACTGTTGTAAATAAACTATCCCACATTCGTCAATCCACTCAAACATAGCAATTAGTAAACCAATTAAATATTTTTGTACTAGTTAGAAAACGAAAAAAAAACTGGATAAAAAGTTGCTTTATTGATTATATTTTTATGCTCTTCCTAATAGCATTTTTTTTTTTACTTATAAATTTATAGCCATTATTAGAATTTGAATTAAAGCTACTCTAATGTTACCCCTATAGTTAGTTAGAGTAATTACGTTTACGCTCAGGTTTGTGAAACAAAATAGCCTTATTAATAAATATAGACTAATTACTCTAAAAGCTATAATAACACTATAAATTCATGACTCCAATATATATGAGTATGTAATAAGTCAATTTATTAAGGTGAGTGTATTAACTCGTCGGGCGCTGTTCGTCGTATCGCGGAGTGGGGCGCGCTACACACCGACGAGAACCATCCAGAACTAGCGACCACTATGATAATGTTGTGTGTGGCGGCCGCGCTCGTGGTGCTCGCTGTGGCCGTCGTGTTGCATGTCAGTATATATAAAGATATCATATATACTAGTGATGTATCCGAACAACTTGGTATACGTACATAATGTAGGAGTATATAGAATATGGAGATGATGTATGCAAGCTTATTATATACTTGGGTTATACATAGATTAAGAATTAATTTTGTTATATTAATTAATATTTTAATTTATAAATGTTTATTTTTAATGTCCAGAGTATGGTGAATTTGGTAAGAAAACATCATTGACTATTCCCTTCTTTCCTCCTTCATAGCTAAGTGCTTATAAATATCTTATATCCTGAAATAAAACAAAAACAATAGTAACTTCACTAACCCTCGTACTACACAAGTATGTTGTCCTAGTGCGAGTAAGAGATCAAGTTTTTGTGAGTCACTCAACTGAACCGTCGCGTCGTGGCTAAATCTTTCATAAATCCCATTTCTTCGTCAAAGACATTTTAAGTCAATGGGCGACCTCTTACAGATAGAATTGGGACAAACATCCCTAGCTCCTTCAGAACCGAAGTATGTTATTGAGACCAGATCGCTAAAAACATATTGTGCAAAAACTGGGATATTCTAGACGGTTCTAGTAATTTCTTTAATGTTTTATATTCACATTTCAATGGAAATTAGGATCAATGTGATAGCCAATATGCTTTTTGTAACAAAATTAATGAAAAATTATTATTAAAAAGCCACTATAAAAATCTAGTAATTGAAACATTTTGTTATAGAAGCGGTCACAGAAGCCGCAGGCGCGATCTAAAGGACTAACTTACGCGGCGTTATCGTCGGAGGACGCGGATGTGTTGGTGGTGGGGCGTGGCCGGGCGGTCAAGGACGTGCTCGAGCACGAGCACGCGCGCTCCGACGAACTAGAGCACGCGCCGCTCATGAAACATTCCGCATAGCGCGCTGTGATAGACGTAAGTGACCTTGAATAGACAATCCATAGTCGTAATTAGTTAGTTCGTGTTTTAAAATGAGTTTTTTTGGAAAATTTGTATAATATATAGATAAGCTTGTTTTGTGTGTCAATTTAAAAGGAAAACAAATAAAAACGAATGTATTTATATAAAATGATAACTGAATTAACGAATTTTATCGGTCCTTTGATATTGTATGATAATGTTTGTTGGAAGTTTATCAATTATAAATGTCTCGCATATTATTGTGGACCAGCGGCTAAGTGTTATGTATTTGTATGTACAGCTCAAGGAGAATTCTGTTTTATTGATAAGTAAATAAAATCTATTATTGTTAAACCGACAAACATGAACCTGGCTAAAAATAATCTCCTAACTTATATGATTTAATATCTCCTGAGCTGATCAATAGATCACAAGTAACAGAATAATTCAAACTATGTTAAATAGATAGATGATAACTAAATAATTATGAACAAAAAGTTCTGCATTAGAAACTATAATATGTGATAAAAGAAATGTTTGATATTTATTTGTTACCTTTAATAATAAAATTATGATTTCTTCAATATAAAACAAAGTTTAAATTATATCCACTGTCCATTTTTATAACCATTTTGTCTTTTTGAGAGTAAAAGAGTAATAAGTTTTTTACGTATTTCTCTAAAAAAAAGACAAAAAGTTTTAGGTCATATGTATACCATTAATGAAAACTATTTAAAAAAGTAAAATAATAAGGCTTCTTTTAAAAATGAGATTCAAATATTAATGTAAACATTTTAAAGGTAACAAATAATCCATATTAAATTTTCTAAGTACACTTTTAAAAGCCATAGTCGACGCTATTTTTGTACCCCCCTTAAGTCTCAAATGTACGTAGATCTGCTCTCTGAATTACGTCACAACCTTGTAATATAGTACTCACAAATTAGTAATAGAACAGAAAGTTACCATAATTGTACAATGTATATTATCATTATTCGTTTATAATATGTATAACATGTGACAATATAATAAATATTTATATGATTTATATATAAATTATTTGTAAAACAAACCGTTATATATTGAAACAGCTTATTTGTTTTCGTTCGTAATCATTGTTAACATCACAACTGTAGGTAAATATATGAAAATTATATCATATTATGTAATAAATTTTATTGAATATATAATGTTTTTTCCTATATGTATAAAGTTCTGAATGTTCAATACATCAGGTGTCATAAATTTTGCTCCCAATGAGTCTTAAAATCGGACTAAATTGGAATTTTCTTAAAAAAACATTTTTTCTAATTTCCTTATTTTTTATTGACATCTGATTCGGTTCGTTCCGTGTAATTTAGAATGTTTTTAACAAAATTTTTAATAATTTACTTGGTGTTTATCTGTATGCTATTTTTTTTTTAATTTTTTTGTGGAAATATTTTTAGTTGAAATTGTATTTTTGTATGGAATACTTATGTGCAATTAATATTTATAATAAAATCAATTCTATGTCACTCATATTTTTATTTCTTGATCCAATCACGTATTCGAGTTATTTGGTGAGAGTAATTACTTTGAAATAATGACATTGACATATATATGTCAAGTGGTTGATGTCAAGTGACACGCAACTGTTTGAATGAACTATTAATTCGTCATATCATCACATTTCTCTTAATTTGACATTTTCAAAATACGATAACTCCTTTCATATATTTCCTCTCGCAAAATCCTTACCTCTCTTCTCATTCATAGTATAATTTATATGATAAATCCGTTTAATAATTACGTGAATAGTAATTAATTAAATAATAATAAACAGGAAGGTTTTATGTAAGCAAATCGGTTAGCGATCCCTGAGGTTATTTTGCTAACATAAATATTGTTTACTAGACATTCTGTGGGAGTATAAGGTAGTCAATAGACTGCATTCTGTTTGCCTACACCAGTTACCCCAAGGCATGACTCCTGTAGAAGCTAGGAGTAAATCTTATATGTAAGTTGGTAAGGAAGCTGAAATTCTTATAAGTCTTTTAACCCTTTTAGACGCTAGATCGACACAGGCTGGTAAAAGTCACTGGAATTGTGATAAAGAAGACCGCTTCTCATCAAACATCACATTTGCTGCTTTGTTTGGGATGAAAACTAGTTCTCATGTAAAGAATGCGAATTTTATATAGGAAAATAGGATATCAAGATTGGTCAAAATACTAAAAAAAGTTATTTATATCTTAATGACGTTAAAGCCTATTATCGTATAAGTTTCAATACCATAAAAAATGCAATATTTGTCTATATTGCATTAAAAACATTATTAAAAAATTGTTTTTCCTTAAATACTCACTCGTTTTAATTTCCTCTCTATCTTTGAAGTTTGAATTGTCTATAAAATATAAAAACTAGTCTCTTACTTATAAAAATTTGGAATTAAATCGAAACCGACTCAAAACATATTCATGTAATAAATAAAGAATATTAAAAGAAAATAACTGAAAAATCCAACCAAAGTATTATATAATGGACATAACTGTGCTGGCGTACAAATAAAAACAAACCAAATTCAAATTCGTTGTCCCAATCGAAAGCAACCCTTATTATGAGGGCAATATCTGAGGTATGTTATTTGCATAGTATTGTCCCTGCATTAACATTTAGACAATCGCTGGCTTACAAATACCGTGTTTTAATAGAAAACGGATAGTCCATTCCTGGACGCCATATTGTTCGCGTCCTATTTTATGACGTCATAAAGTTATTGTTCTCTATATATATATATTTGTTTGCATATATTAAAATTATTCTGAGATACATTATTCGAGTATATTTAAGGTTTCGAATTGAATGAAATATATGAAAGGAAATATATGTTCAATAAGTATGACATTATTTTTAATGAAATCGTACGCGCATTAAAGACTACACTTAAAATATGCTTGCTCTATAATAAATATTATTCATTTAAACTTTTGGACGTCAAATTCAACACAATATAGGAAATTATATCAGATATACCTCTAATTATTTATGCTAAGTCAGATTGGCAGCGAGCAATACTGAGACCAAACTGTCATAGATAATGTAAACAAAAGACGTATTTAATCCATAGATTAGATATTTAGTTTGATTGACATTTTAGCTAAATAACTAACGATGAAGATGTAATGACATATACTATAGCTAGGTAGTCAACAATTCTTATAGAAAGTATTACCAATCCCAAAAGGAAGTGCTCAAAATAGTATTATAACTTAATCAACTGTTTTTTTTTTATAAATTCAGGGTAATTGGATCTGTTGGAGATGCTAAACACACAAGTCCCCCAAAAACCTATTTATACTCACTAGAATAATATTGATAACTGCATGAGGCATTTGCTAGTCATGTACTCTCTTGTTTTCGATATGTAGTCTTTTAATTTAACAGCATTAGATTTCTATTCATGGGGTTATTTGAATCAAAGGTCAATGACCAGAGACCAACATCACCTGTGCTTTACCAAACGCAAATAAACTCTAAAGGGAGCGGAGAGAGGAGGGGAGGTTACAACAAAAATATATTGAGTGACAAAAGAAAGCTATGTTAAAATTTAAAATATTGAAATGCGAAAATTAAATGTGTAAGAACTTGACCTACTATTATTATTTTGGCATTTTCATTATGAGATTCTGTCAATCAATAACATACCACTTCTAACTTGTAATGTAAGTTTATCTTTTTATTTTATGATTCATTTAAAAATATTAATCTAGTGTTAATATTAAACTACGATTATTTCTAATCAAAATATTTCTATTTTTGGATATTGTTTTGATTAAGTACTTAAATTTTAATTACAAAAACACGGGTAGGGACGGAATATTATAAAACTCTATTGAAAGTACCTAAATAAATATTACATAAACTAAGACATAAATATATAAGAGTCAAAATTAGATAGCTATTTAATATTTATCAACATGTGCTAAACAGATGACAGAGGTATATATTCTTTATTTTTTTTATTGATTTTATCATTTTTAATTATAGTTTATGTTAGTTTTTATTTTAGTTTCACTATACTTGTTGTTGGATTTGTTTCCATCGATCTGTCGCATGTCGCATTACACATGATAGTTTGATAGGATGAATTGAAGAAGTGTAGAGCAGTCATGTTAAATATGGTGGTGGCAAACTCATTCGTGCAAGCACGTCCCCGTATTTGATTATTTTGACCAGTGATATATGTATAAATATTGTTTTCAGATTTACTGTCCCCAATTATATGAATCCATTATGTTACGTAAAACCGGGTTATTAAGGGAGTGAAATTAAAATTGATATTTAGACATCTTGTCTACAGTCTACAATAATAAGACCTTTTTTATTCGAGAACAATCAAATTTTAAAAGTGATTTCTATGATTTCAATTGCATATCTGCCACAAAATATTCAATTTAAATTTTCTATACAATCCAATGCATATTCAGTTACATAGTGATGTTAAAACACAGTAACATACCAATTAAAAAAAATAGAAATTTGCTCTAGACCCATTTTGTAAATGAATATATTTTGAAAGTATTACCTCATACATTCATTGGTCGGGTGAAAGACAAATATAATATAACATTAAACGATAATTCAGGGAAGTACACGTTAAATTATTAAACAAATTCCAAGTCAAACGCGCCCTTTGTTTTGGATCCTCATACATTTAAAAGTCAAATATTTGGTATTATATTCACATACCCACTTTATTCGTTTTCAATACCCTTTTAACATTGCATTTGAATCGAGACATTTACATATAGACAAGATCCAAGAGTTCTGCCCTAATTGCGACATATTTATTTTCCCGACCTTCCAAAAGAAAAATTAGACCCTTTTTTGATAAGTCGACAACCGCAAAGGAAAAGTGACCTTTGGAAAACTGGGTCTCATGTTTTATTATTTTAAATAAATTGTGTCTCTTTATTTAATTTATTCTACATATTTTCAACGGCTTATATTCAAAGGCT